CCTTCATGGCTGCCCGCCAGTCCCCCGCTGCCCGCTGCTCCTTCCCATAGCTGCTTTGAGCCGATGGTGTCCTGCGGCTGCCGTACGCCGATGGTTTCCCGCCATGTCCCTCCCTCCCTCCTTCGTTGGTCTCCCGCTTCTCTCACCTTCGTCGGTCTCCCGCTTCACCCACCTTCGTCGCCCTCCCCCCGCTGCTCCCCGCCTTCGTTGCTCGCTTCTTGGTTGTCCCTCGCAGCGTCTCTCCCTCCCTCCTTCGTGACGTCAAGATTGAAATGACGAGGGGGCGTGCGACTCCGGGAAAACGGCCGTCCCCCTTCTCCAACACTTTTGTGGGGGAAGGGCGTGCCGAATTCAAAATTTCGAATTCGGCAGGCCCTTACCCCAAAAAACATTTCGGAGGCGGGGCGCGGCCGGTTTCCCGAGTCGCGTGCCCCGCCCGTCATTTTTGCTGAGGTGGGGGCCGCCCTCCGAACGAAAACCCAATTTTTTTTTTTCTTCCCCCCCTACCCCTATTTTTTGCTGTGCGGGGTGCCACGGTGCACTGTGCGGGGCGCCACGGTGCGCTGTGCGGTGCGCGGCGCTATGTGCGCAAATCGTGCGCAAACCGGATGACGTGGCTGCAATTACGTCCCACACAGCGCAGTCGAAAAAGTTTTAGTGCGAGTATGCCCTTATTGCCTTGTCCTACTCCATTGTACTCTGTTGCAGGAAGTGTGTGCATCCAACGATTGCGGCAGTCTCATCCACTCCCTCCCTCCCTCCCCCCCTCCTCTCACAGTGCCCTCTCTCATTTCCATTGCTTTTATGGATTGAATCTTATCCCAGGAATTTGCAGCTCTAGTTCACAAGGCGCATCTGTTATGCCTTCTTGCGAGGGGAACAATGATCGATGCTGCATGCGACAGTCCCTTGATCCAGGTAATCTCTCTCTCTCTCTCTCTCTCTCTCTCTCTCTCTCTCTCTCTCTCTCTCTCTCTCTCTCTCCCCCTCTCTCTCTCTCTCTCCCTCTCTCTCTCTGTCTCTTTCTCTCTCTCTCTCTCTCTCTCTCTCACCCTCCTCTCTCTCTACTGTCGTCTCCCTCTCTCTCTCTCCCCCTCTCCGTCTCTCTCTCTCTCTCTTTCTCTCTTTCTCTCACCCTCCCCTCCTCCTCTCTCTCTACTGTCGTATCTCTCTCCCTATCTTTCAACTACTCACCATCTTCTTGTGGCTCTCTCATTTTCATCTGTGTTTGCTTCTGTTTTTTGCCCAGCTGCTTGCCCCTTCTCCCTGCATACTGTGCTGTGTCTGGCGTGTGTCTGACCTTTGTTTCTGTTTGTGTATCTGCCCTGTTTCTAGCCTTTGGTGCATGTATTTAGCCGCTACTTTGCCTATGATACATGTATCTAGCCACTACTTAGCCTGTTTAGCCTGTGTGTGGACTGCCCTTGTGTCTAGGGTGTGCCCAACCTCCTTTCTATCCTGCATCTACCCTGTCTCTAGCCTACTATGGTACATGCATCTTGCCCTTCACTTAGCTCGTCTACCCTTTATGTCTACTATCATTTCAAACGTTAGATGCGTTATTGCATCTGAAATGGCACCTGCTGTCATATGCATCTCTTCCTCCCCTGGTCCCAGACACCTGCCTTGTTCACAGAGATTGTACCAGCTGGTTCTGAGCTGGTTCTGAGCTGGTTCTGAGTATTATGATAAGGGATTGGGGCAATGTCCCTGGACAAGACATGACATGTATGTCCCTGGACAAGACATGACATGTACCATTCGTGAGAGTTGTGCTTCTCGGCTCTTGGACCTGGTCCACTAGTTTGTACCTGATCCTTTGAGCTTGGACCTGGTCCACTGGCAAGAGATGATGGCAGGGAGTTGCTCTGCTCTCCCTCCACTTGTACCTGGTCTACTGAGCTTATACCATTTGGTGGTCCTGGTTTACACCAGGAATCCTTTCTGATGTCTGTCCGAATCTGATGTGATCTGCTCGTTATGTGCGAATGGTTGGTCCGTCTGAGTCTGATCTGATTCTCTCAGTGTGTACCAGCTGTCTGCTCCTTGTCTCTAGGGATGCATGAGGTTGCGTTCTTTTGCTCTATGTACCAATTGGGCCTGGTCCACAGGGTTTGCTCCAATTGGACCTTGTCCTGAAGTTCGTACCTCTTGGACCTGCTGTACATGTACTGGGGCTGGTCCTCAGGGTTTGCACCTATCGATCGGACCTGGTCCTCAGGGTTTGCACCTATCGATCGGACCTGGTCTGCAGGGTTTGCACCAATCGGACCTGGTCCACAGAGTTTATACCATTTGTCTGGGAATATGTGATACCAAGCTGTTTGTACTATTTGCGTGCATTTGAACGTTGACCCAGTGTTTGTACCTTTGAGTTCTTACTGGTTGTTTGGTTCTGTGGCTTCAGGGATTGGCAATGTCGTGTCTACCGTCGAGCAAGGCGCCAGCGATTGCCAAAGGCATAGCAGGGTTGAAGGCTACGGATCTGCAGCCAATGGCCAATTGGGTGAGTGTGGAAGCCGCCAGCCAACTTTCCTGATCCACCCTCCCCCCCTCCTAGAATAGATGAAGTCCCCTTAGCCATTGTTGTTTTGCAGGGTTTGAACCCCGGACCTGTTGATGCAGAATGCGACACCACTGATCAACCTGTCTATCCGAACACTGAGCTAGTGATGCGTGCATCATTCCTCTTGAAGCATCATGTAATGGCCCTGCGCGCCCCCCTTTCTTCACCCATGTTTGTGAAGCGCTTTGCAATGAGGTGTTTTGATACTCTGGCGTCCCCTCTCCATGCCTAGAAGGCATCTTGGCACTCCCTCTCTCCCTTAACCATGTCTGTAAATGCAACTGTACAACACCCTCCAACACCCCTCAACACCCCTCAACGCCCCTCAACACCCCTCGACCCCCTTAGACCCACCTTGACCCCCCTCAACCCACCTCGACGCGCCTCAACCCGCCTCAACCCGTCTCAAGCCTCCTCAATCCCCTTCCTCCCTGCAGGCCCAACAACCCCCCTCAACCACCCCACAACCCCTCCGCAATACGTGCAACCCCCTGCAACCCCCTG